AATTAATTGTTTAATATTTAATAACTAATTAATAATATTATTAATTAGCTATTGGAAGATCAATTAACAAAAATTATACATGGATCAAGTACTGACTATGCTTTGTATACAAGTGGTGCACAAATAATAAATAAATTGACATCAAGAGTTTACGAAGAATGGCCAACAAAAATGCATCAAAGAATATGGGGTTACTTCACACATCGTAATCTTGTAAAAAGTCGTGAGCCTGATGTGGTCATCAAACCAAACATTAATGTTGGTGAGTGTTGGTGTTTTAACGGAACAAAAGGTCAAATTGCCATAGAGCTGTCAAGAAATATCATTTTCACACATGTGGCATTACATCACATTGGCAAAAATGTATCGATTGATCCAATTAGCTCTGCCCCAAAAAATTTCGAATTATGGGGATTGCCTTCTGATGATGATGACGATGATATTGGTACTGGTGTTGGTAATAATTATGATGAAATAGACAATAAAGAACTTTTTAGTGATAATGATTCAAAGACAAAAACTACTGCAACTGACAAAAAATTTAAATTATTCAACAAAAAAGTTTTAAAAAATAAAGATTTCAACATTTTTTTGGGTCAATATCAATATGACTTAACGGGAAAACCTTTACAATTATTCCATTTACCAGAATCAATTGCAAGAACCAACAATAAACGTATTCAAGCAATAATCATGAAAATTTTAAACAATCACGAGAATCCAAAATTTACTTGTTTATATCGGCTTCAAGTACACGGATTATTTCCACAATAACACAATTTAGCTATGTAAAATTATTAGCGACTTAGCAACGGCGTGGAAGACCTGTTTCTTTGATACATGTGTATATTATTTTTGTATTTATAGAATTGGTTATTTTTGTATTTATAGGATTAATTTGATAAAAAAATATACTTCTAGAATTTTAGAGTTTTTATTTATTTAATTATTTTATTTTTTCTGTAAATATAATTTATTAGATCTTTAAATTATTTGTTTATTAAAAAAAAAACAGTTAATAAAATGTAGACCTCTTCAAGATTTATTGGGAAAGTTACAGTAATAAAAAAAAATTGATCAAATAGATAACATTGATTTATAAATTATTGTGAGATTACTAACAATATCTTCTATGCTACTCCGGACATATGAAAATTATCCCTGTACAGCCAATTAACATAACTGGCATAATTTTGAGCATTCAAGGGGATGAGAATATGAAGATTAGGGAGAGCAAGAGATATGATAGTTGTTACATTTGGTGACGGTTGATGACGACGATGATGGTAATGATTGTGAAGAGGAAGATGATTGAGGTTGTGGTGGTGGTTGTGGTAATGATGTAAGTGTCATCTAGTAACGCTAATTGCTAAGCTACAATTTTGTACGATTTTTCCAAATTTCAACTTTTTTTTGTCTTTATAATAATAATATTACTTTATCACAATTTCTATAACTGCTATTAAATGCATTGAACAATATCCACCTACAATAATAATACTAATAATAACAACAATAATAATATTTATTAATATCTTTCATGCACAACGTATATATCTAGATTTCACATCTTTTTTCTTTGGAAATGTGGAGACTAAAGCTCCGAACAAATCGAAATGAGTGGAATTTTAAAGTGGTTCGGTTCGGTTCGATTTGTGACTCGATTCGATTTGATTCGAATCAAACTAGATTCGTAAATTTCTTTTAATGTCATATTAATAGGGCTTTTATTCGAATAATACAAAACTCTACATATTAACATAATAATAAATATATGATGTCTCTTTCAACAGGCACAGTGCAATGTGTTCAATAAGTGGGAACCATTTCACAGTTGTAGATGGAAAAGCCAAATGCAATTATTGCACTAAGTAAAAAAAATTTTTTTTGACTTTCAAAACCATTTATTTCAGTAGATGGTAACAATATATGTTGTATATTGTTACCTACTTATGAAAATTGACCACATTCAAGTGTGGCCCATTCCAAATTTTTGGCCGCATGCAAACTGTCATCAGGATAACAACATGGCTAATTTTTGTCATCAGGCCATATTCCTACAAGAAGTTTAGATACTTATTTCCTACTTATTTTTTACAAAACATACTTAAAACATAAGTCAAAACATACTTGAATCAAAAAAGATGATTCACTAATTATTTGCAAAACATGTACGAATATACTTATTTTAAATTATCATGTAGTTATCCACAAAAAATATCCGCAATCGCCAAATCGATTTCTAAATAAGGATAACACGCATCCAACCCACCAATAAAAATTGGATATTCTGAGGTTTCACGAAATTTGCGGATATTTTTTGTGGATAACTACACGATTATTCCTCCCTCTTCTTCCTTCAAATCCATTCTATCTTTCAAATGTTATGGCAACTGTTGTACCTTTTATAATGAATTCAAATAATCATAAATGCAGGCATATGTTTATGACATGCAGGTAATTTAATAAATAAAATAACATTCAAAATGTTAAATAATTTAAAAATAAAATAATTTAATAAATAAATATTATATGTTAAATAATTTAATAATATAAATAAATCAAGATCCAATAAATAAATAAATAATAATAAATCTAACTAATCTTAAGTAAGACTGATTCCTTTAGATTTGCACATAGACAGTGCTTTAGGATGTTGTTGTAAAGCAGCCATTTTCAAGTATCTTTTACCTTTCTCTTCATCCCTAACAACACCCAAACCATTATAATAAATATTACCTATATTATACATTGCAGTTATATTACCATTATTTGCAGACATTTGGAAATATTCTACTGACTGTTTGATATTTTTCTTTACTCCTTCACCAGCCCATAAACAATGACCATATCTTAATTGTGCATCTGGTATGCTTTCATCAGCTGCTTCTTTGAATAATTGAACTGCTTGTTGCAATCTTGTTTGTCTTGCATCATTATCATCTTTATTTTCTATTGGACACAAATCATAATATAAATAATATCCCATCCAATATCTGAATAAATAAATTTTAAATATTATGATAAGATAAAAAATAATATAATACACATTACAAATTTACCATTACTAATTCATTATAAATTCACCACAAACCCACATATAATTTAATTACAACACTTACTTGGCAAGAATATCATCAAAGTCTTCAGAATGTTGTTTAAATGCATTCCATGCCAAAGCTTTATCACCATTTTGTTTCTTATGTTCATTTATAGCTTCATGTATACTTATTATATTATCAGGTATCTCATTATCTATTTCCAATTGATTGATATCATCAATTGGCAGTTCATCATCTGTCAATTTGCTTATTAATGCAGGTCTTGGAGATGTTTGTGGTAGGTATCTATGATAAATGTCATTTAAAGTCATAAACATATCTTTAAGTGGAGGTCTTGCAGTTGGACTATCTTGCAAAGCTACTCGCGTATATGAATGCATATATATGTGTGAGAGTTTATTATGTATAGTATTAATTAATTAATGATAAAAATATATCATTCTTTTAAAAAAAATAATTTTTCCACCTTGATAAACAAGTTTTGACCATTCAATTGGAACTCCAAGGCTAAAGGATGGACGTATTTTATCTATTACATTATTTACAATTTTCAAAATATCCATTTCATTCTGGAATGGGATTTTTTCTTCAGCAATTTCCCATAAAAGCATTCCAAAACTTGAATTTTATTTAGAGGGAGAAGAAACCATTATTAATCGATCAATAAACTGTCAACTAAATGATAAATTTAAATTAAATACCTATAAATTTCACATTTTGCAGTATAAGGAGAATTTTTATTTTTCAATTTTTCAGGAGCCATCCATCTAACATTATCAATTGTTGGAGTAATGTTTTTAGTGGCATCATCAAATCCTCTACTCAAAGTAAAATTAGCAATTTTTGCTTGACAATGATTTGTAATCAAGATATTTTCTGATCTTATATCATGATGTAATATGGAGACAGCATGTAAAAATGTCAGACCTCTTGCAATATCAACAGCCAACTGAGATTTATAATGCCAATTAAGTGGTCCATTTAATTTGTGATACTCTGTCAAATTACCAAATTCACACCATTCAGTCACCAAATACATTATATCTCCATCTTGTGACACACCATAAAATTGACAAATGAATTGGGATTCTTTCAATTTTTTTAAAATAATAACCTGACCCAAAATATCTTTTTTGTCATCTTCTTTTGAAACAGGTTTTGCTTTAATTGCCACATCTTCACCCAATCGAACTTTTTTTATCACTTTGCCACGTCTAACTGGTTGAGGTGGATCATGTAATTCAGTAAATGGTATCTTTGCTGATCTCAATTCATCTTCATCACTGTTTAATAGTTGTTTTTGCCATAATATATTCAATTGAGAAATATCATCCAGTTTATCATTGATTTGTGATAATTTATCAGCAATACCCCCTTCAATTGATTTAAGATACTATATCAACAAATATAAGAATAAATATATATGTTTAATTACACACATATTCGCAAAAAAATTAATTATAAATAAAAAACTTGCATTTGTCATTTCCTCTATATCCTTACGAAGAGCTTTATTATCATCTTCAACTTGAATTTGTGTTTGAATAGCTAAACTAAAATTTAGAACACGCATTAATCCATCAAACTCATCAGTTAAACGTTTAAACCCATCCTCGATTGAATGAGCCAACAAAAATTTTCTTAGACCGTTAAGTTGTGAAACGTCAGCAATGAATTTCTGAATTTTCTTGATAACATTAACCAATTTCTGAAAATCTTTATAATATTGTTTTGACTTGAACAAATCTTCATTCTCAAGTCTACGTATTTTCAAAATGTTGACTGCATTTTCAGCAGTTGTAACTCTTGACAATAATGAGCCACATATACGTTTGTTATGTTCAGCTGTTTGATATAAATCTATTATTTCAGCTACAATAGCTCCAACTTCAGATATAAGTGGCAAAAAAGGTGCCAACGCATCAACTACTACTGCTGCTTCCTTTGATGTCGCTTTTAAAACATCTACTGTAACATTCACCGACCCTGACGCAATTTCAGCTTTGCTTGACATTATTTATAGAAAAAAATTTAATCGTAGCATCCATAATTAAACCAATACTAAAAAAGCAAGTTCGTGATACAAAAACTTTTTTTGATTAACAATCCAAAAATTTTGTTCTGAATCTGAAATTTATTCTGGGCAAAAGTATTGGAATTATTAACTGCAGCAAATCAATTTAGTATTGAGTTACTTTATGAATATATGTTGAGATATTTTAAAACTCATGAATTGAAAAATTTTGTGAATATAGTGAAAAATTATTCGAGTCAAGTGAATTTGAATCGTTGGAAAAACCAACTCTATTGGAAATTCTCAAAAAAGATGATTTTTCTGTTATTTCGGAAAACGTCTTTAAATGGGATTAGCAAACATCTAGAAATCAATAATATCAATCTTTGAAGGTTAGCCATCACAAAGCAACACATTAAAAGATTTTCTTTCTCTAATAAGATTTTAGGATATTTCCAAAGAGGATTTTTTTAATAAAATAGAACCATATCAAATGCTTTTTCATATGGTTTTATGGAAACCCACTTTACTTTATTATTTATTTCCTGATAAACAACAAAAATTAAATTTATTACCATCAAGAAATCCTAAATTTGAATCATTGACAACCAACCAAAATCTTAACTTGCTTTTTGCAAGTTGGGTTGATAGAAAAAGTCGATCATATACTTCACTCAGGGAAGTCAAATATGAATTCAAACTTTTATATCAAAGTAGTAGAGATGGCTTAAATGCAACTACATTCCATCAAAAATGTGATGATATCAATAAAACTCTTGCAGTTGGCAAAATACAAAATTCAGAGAAAATAGTTGTGGCTATAATCCACTTAATTGGAATAAAAGGGGATATAAGAATACAACAGAAAGTTTTATATTTAATATTAGTAATAGAAATGATGTTAATACTGCACCATTTAGCTATGTTATTAATAATCATTATAGGATGCAGTTTATTGTAGAACTTTTTATTTACCTGATTTTGGTAGTGGTTCTCCTTTTTTTGATACAGATGGTAATATTCATAGTGAACTAGGTGGTTATAATAACATCAATATAGTAGATGGAGTAGATTCGATGAATTAGAAGTTTTTCAAATAATTGATAAAAAAGTAAATACAATGTTAGATTATTAATTTTATTATTATATTCTCTTTATAAATTTGTTTACATAATAACATACATGTTAAATGGAAAGTTATTCTATAATTTCGGAGGTATTAAGATCCCTTCTTATTTTATTTAATATTAATGAAAATGAAAGATTTTTATGATGTAAAAATACATGTTGGCATATTAAAGAAACCAATCATCCTTCCAGCCATCCAATAGGAAGTTTAATAAAATCTTTGACCAACTTCAATATTGTAAATTGAACTTAATAGAAATTACTGCTCTTTCACAACCAGATGGAAACTATTACATACTTCTATCAAGGTGGGATTAAATATAAGCCATATTCTCAAATTGATCAGTTATTGTTAGCATCATTATGATTTGATGTTCCAAAAATTACTGGGCTTGACTTTTTGCCAAATTAATAAAATGATTTTTAACAACAACACTAACAGTTGTACTCTATTGTTCTAATAATTGAATATTTTTCTTCAGCTTGATCATCTGGAACAATAATCCATGCATTATATCCTTTTGCACGTGAAATCATTGCAATAGATATTCCTGTTGAACCTCACATTCCTTCAAATATTGCACATCCTGTGTTTGGTTTAATTAATCCTTTTTCTTCTGTGATTTTAATCATATTTAATGCTAATGATTTTTTGAGCTACCTCCTGGACTAAGAAGCTTTGTAATATATATGATTACTTAATGTATGTATATCAATTAAAAAAGCCCCAATGTTTTTAGGCTGATTTTTATTTGAAAAAATAATAATAATATAAAGTTGATGATAATATACCTCAGCTTTTCCCTTAACAAATGCAATACAAATATTTATTATTTGTTGAATTAAAACAGTAATAGTAAAAGATCATGCATAATATTGATTAATTACCAAGATTTCACAACCAATAGCTTTACTCAGACTTTAATTTTCACCAAAGGTGTATCGTCTTCATCTTCTTTGCTAATATGTTGTCACAGTATGTTTTTGTCAGTTTGATAATTTTATTATTATTATATTGTTATACCAATTTTTATGAAATTGTTATGCAGATCAAATCTGAGCGACTTATTTTCATTTATAATTATGTATTTTATAATAAAAGGGGCGGGCATGCTTACAACAAAACCCAACAAAGCGAAGATTTGTGCTACCAAGAATTCCAGTCAGTGCTCATAATTGCTTAACATAGAACTAATCCTATAAATAAAATATAAATATGAAACTCGTTCACGTCAGATTCACCATGGAGTCCAAGAATTATAGTACATTCAGAAGAAATAACAAGGTGAAAATTACCCCTTATGTTTTCAGAGCAAATGATACTCAGACACTTGAAATTTATCTAAGGAAAGAAGAATTACCTATGAAATCATAACTAATAAAAGAATGTTAACACAAAGTCATGAAAGACCTAAATTAATTTACTACCTAACTTAGGTTAATTATCAATATAGGTGAGCATATGTAATATTATCTTTTTTAAAGATCAATAAGTGACAAATGTGGATAATTTTTGTCTAGTCGTGTATTAACTTTATAATACTTATCTAATAAATTAGAACAAGATTTAGCTAGCGCCTCTGCTGATTTTATAGGAATGGTATTTGCTAACTTGTTCATATCTTTCACTATATTATAATTAAGAGGAAAGCCATCGGTTTTCAGTGTGATGGTTAGGAGGATTACTGTGCCTGGAACCAATGGAGGGCTGGCTACGTTTACTACCATCTAATCTCATAGTATTACCTCTTGAATAAAATTTACTGATAATTAGTTAGAAAATATTGTAGTAAATCATTGTATGATAACGGTTTGCAGATGGAGGTATGTGTATTTTCATATTTTATATTTTTAATATTTAAATATGTTGTTTAATGTATGATTTATTATAGATCAATGATTTGAGATACATTGTTGTGGTGATAATAATTTTATTTTCTAAATAATTTTTTTTAAAAATTAAACATGTAATTAACATGCGAATAATATGTTGTTAGAATAAATAATTTCCACAAGATCATCATTGGTTCTTCTAGAATCAACAGTCCACCTTCAAGAATGTAATGAATTGATACTAATAAATCATTTTTATATAGTTTCTTATTATTAACAATTTACTATTTACTAATTTATTTCACATGATATTTATTAATTTATAGCAAATCCTTCAGCTTGGTCATTAACGCAAAGATTTGTGAATTTATTCTTGGCAATTTAGATATTTCGTTTTCAAATTAATATCTAATTAACATGATGTCGATGTCAATGTCAGTGTCTTGCTTATCCTATTATAAAGAGGATATTATATCACGTTCTTTATATAAGAAAATCAAATTGTTTCTTTTATTATATATGTTTATAACATATATTTACATTATACAAATTAATAATATATAAATATTATTGATTGATTTTTAGTCTTGTCTCACTTTCTGAACAACAATCATCAACTTCAAAAGTTTTCAAAATCACAACTATAACATCAAAAAAAGCATTGGATTTTATCATGTGTACATTTAATGACCATTTATGATGGTCACAATTCAATTATTACTAAACTAATTCAACTATGAAAAGGCACATAATTAATTAGTATATATGTATAAATATATAAATATTTATATATTAAATATATTAAGACTATTGTAATCAAGGACTCATGATATTAGTCTAAAAAAACAACATCTTTTTATAATATAGGATGGTCAAAATATTGAAAGAGAAACTTTTATAGAATGTAATTATTATTATACACAACGCTTATAAGAATATCATTAATTTTATTGTTATCGTCTTATCTAGTTAATATTCTTGCAAATTCAAGAGATGAGATGTTATTGGTCATTTTGGATTTATTAGGTAAAAGATGTAAAATCTCTTAGATTTATAAATAATATTAATATTTAACAATCTACTAACTTAATTTATAATGTTGGATAAAAGCAAAATTTAATGGCGAGAAATCGTCTTCATCAATTAATTATCATTGATTTTGAATACTTGTTGTTGGGTTTAGTCAGTCACGAAGCCTCAGTCTAAATTAAATAATAATAAAAAACGATGATTCAATGAAAGAGAAAGGAATTGAGGTGATTTTAAATTTGATTTTGATTTTGATTTGCGTATGTATATTTATTTTTACATATTTATAGATTTTTGTAATGATTACATTAAACTGATAATCGAGTAAGTCAAAATTGTCCATCTTTTAACTTCTTAAAGTTTATTATTATTATTACTTATTAATATCATTGATATTATTATCATCATCATGTGCTATTAGTATATTTGATATGGTAATTCATCTTAGAAAATCGTTGGATTAAATTTAAATGACTCGTTGGCTGACATATGTTGGATTATCATCAATCAAATAATAATAGTATTAATGCATTGCCTTTGATGAATTTAAACATGTAATAATTAATTTTAATTAATATCTATGGATAATTTGATTGATTTATTCAAAGTTTATTACAGTTGCAAGTAGGATCGAAGTAAAGTAAATATCAATTCTATATAACCATTTATCATATAATTTAATTTCCATTCATTATCATTATAGTTGCATATCACCAATTTTATTATTAATATGTTTGTATAGATTATCAACAGAGTGTAAAGATCTCGTAAATATGCTGTAAACTTAAAGGAGCCAGTCAAGGTTTTGTTTCATCGACTGCATTACTTGAGATAATAAAAAAATATTTATTAAATTGATGATTTTTTTATAAATTCATATTATAACAATAATATTGTTATTATTACTATTTTTATTATCGCCTTAGAGCCTTGATTACGTTTGACATGCAAAGGTTCTAATTCATATACAGTATATGTATTGCATTTGTATTTGTATTTATACATGTTTG